GAATTGGGTAATTATCTGGCTTGGATCCAGTTAGAGGCCTCTTACATCTGACTGAATCATAAAGAAACTGGTGGTAAATTTATAGGGAGTGTAAAATTTGACTTGGAAAAAATTGCAGGAATTTTTGTGTTCTATCCCTTTGTTTCATTTTTCTTATATGCTTAGGTAGGAAAAAAAATCATTGACTAAGTTAATCAAGGGCACCTGAGAGTAAAGCCAATATTTAAGGTAAAAATGGAATCCTTAATTTCTGGAAAACTGAGCTCCTTCTGACTTACACATTAAACATAGAAAATAGCATAGTCTTACAGAAATGATGAAATCTTCCTAAAGGCAACTTACAGTGGAATGTTCTGAACGAACAACACACTGAAGTACATTTAAAAATGAGGGCTTCCAGGCTGGGCGTGGTGGCTCACGCCTGTGATCCCAGCACATTGGGAGGCTAAGGCAGGCAGATCACCTGAGGTCACAAGTTCAAGACCAGCCTGATCAACATGGAGAAACCCGGTCTCTACTAAAAATACAAAATTAGCTGGGCATGGTGGCACATGCTTGTAATCTCAGCTACTTGGGAGACTGAGGCAGGAGAATTGCTTGAATCCAGGAGGTGGAGGTTGCAGTGAACTGAGATCATGCCATTGCACTCCAGCCTGGGCAACAAGAACGAAACTCCATTTCAAAAAACTAATTAATTTAATTTAATAAAAATGAGGGGTCCCAAAAATTAAATCTGCTAACCTTTTAATTTAGCACTATCCCCACCCAAAGGAAATAGACTACAGCACCATTTGACTGACTTTGGATAAGTAATGGGGTGTATTTTACCTGAGTAAAGGATAGCATTGGGTTAGAGGACCCCCCCCTCAGTTAAGTCCCTCTTGGTTAAAAATAGGTTAAAGATGACAGGGCCCCACTGGGGGCAAGTTTGAGCCTTGCCAGATTAATATTTGGTGCCTCCATGCAGCCAGTTGGGTGGCAACTTGCAAAGTCAAGAGGCTTTTGCCTGTGGTTCCATGAAGCAGAAAAAGATCATTTTCCTTTGTGTTGTGGCTTGGCCACCAGGGCTGTGATGCAGCCAGTCGGGTCACTAGGGCCACTCGGGGAAAGGGAACCCAGAAGCCTGACATGTTAGCGAAAGAGTAAATGTTTCTTACCAGTCAGACTTCTGCCTCTTTCTCCCCATTTAAACTGGTTGAATGAATGATAAAAATCATTGTTTATCTCCTGTGAAGTTTCGATTAATGGAAAAAAAAAAGGATTTATGTGGTTAGTCTTAAACTGTTGCCAATCTGGTATGCTTTATGTGTCTTCCTATATCATACTATCATAAAGAGGAGTTCTTTAGGATAGAACATGGGCTTAAAACCCCGTAAGCCCTCTGCTCAAGATGGCACAACAAACTGGTTGATAACAAACTTTACTGAAAGAAACAAACAAATAAAACTGGATGAGGTCTCCATCTTGTTTTATGTCCTTGGGAACTTGACCTTGTGACCACATGGTGGTACTTTTTCTTGGTCTCTGCATTCCAAGAAGCAAGAATTTTGAGATTCATGTCACAGTTAACTCTAAAAATTACCTAAAGTAATTAAAAGCCATTACAAGCTCAAAATTGACTACTCTAGACTTCCTTTGGAAAGGGCAATAAAAGCTACCCAGTGCTGTAATTCAGTAACTGAGGTTTTATCCTTTCGCAGAGAGAGCCCAGGTTCAATTCCCCACTTAGAAAATGAGTCCTTTCTTGTTTAATATCTGTATAACCGTTACCATTTGTTGATTCTCTTCCCCTCCTATAACCATCTTGAATTTTCCTTTCTCAGAACATCTGTAGGGTTACTTGGTAAAGTTTAAATTCCCAAAATATTGGTCATTTGACCTGGCTAAAGCAGGGTAATTTAAAAGAACTTTTTTTTTTTTGAGATGGAGTTTCACTCTTTTTGCCCAGGCTACAGTGCAATGGCATGATCTCAGCTCACTGAAACCTCCACCTCCAGTTCAAGCGATTCTCCTGCCTCAGCCTCCTGAATGTCTGGGATTACAGGTGTGCCCCATCATGCCCAGCTATTCTTTGTATTTTTAGTAGAAACAGGGTTTCTCTATGTTGGTCAGGCTGGTCTCAAACTCCCTATCTCAGGTGATCCACCTGCCTCAGCCTCCCAAAGTGCTGGGATTACAGGCATGAGCCACCGCGCCCAGCTTAAAAGAACTTTTTTAGAAGAGTGCTATTGTTAAAAGTCAGCTTAATTAAAAGCAGATATTCAAGCCCTAACAGTCTGAGACACCTTGGGAAAAACAGGAGGTGCTAGAGACCCCATTTTGGGAAAAACGTGTTTTCTTCATGAAATTCCAAAAATTGGAAGTGGATAGACTACTTTCAAAATCGAAGTCTCTGTTCTGTTTTGCATTCCATTATCTGACATTTTTTGCTTTGGGGAGTATCAGAAATTACATTATAAGACAGCTTTGGTATGTCTTATATCAAGTGTTTTAAACCTTTAACACATTTAATAGACTTCCTCAAATCAAATTTTAGCTTCAGAATTCTCTTCTAACCTCTAACATTGGAATACTACAGAGGGCCCCTGAGACATCCAAAAGAAAGGTAAACAGGATTATTTAACATATTAAGTTACACAGGGAACATTGTCAAAATAAAAATAATGTTTAACCTTCTTCAGGTTATATTTTAGTGAACAATATTAATATATGTTCTAAAATTGTATAGGATTTCTAAAATTATAAGGTGTCAGAGTATATGCTGTCAATCATAATTACAATTATTATGTTATCATAGACCACAGAAATAGCCAAATTTCCTTGTCCATTGTGTCTTTAACTATAACTATTTAAGGTCATTTCCACAGTTAATTGCTTAATACTGATGCAGTTTCTTAAAATTCAACAAACACACAAAATCCTAGAATATTGAATCTCTTAGGAGATTCATGAAAAAATAAAAAGGATGCTAAAAAATCCTCTTAAATACAGGTTTCTAATAACTTTAGAATCATATTTAAACTGGGTAAGAATTACTGAAACTTTAACGAAAAGACTGACTGGTTTATAAAACTAGTCACCTGAATAAACAAAAATTAATTGAATACCAAGAAAATACTTTGCCAGATTTTCATGGTAAATCAACTGATACTGAAATTATTTAAATATACAATTAAATAAACTCCATGGTCTAAGCCAAATTACCTATGATAACCCATCAGTTATCAGTACTATACACCTAATTTAGAAAAACAACTGGTATTCAAGAAGACCTAAGTCTAATATTAATTAAACATGGACACATGGAGAACCAGGAAGCCCACCTTGTCTCTCCTGAGTTCTTAAAACTTTTTTTACTAGAAGTTATACATTCCATGACTCATGATGGAAAAGATAAAATAATCCAAATTAAATACATTGGTGTGGTAAATTATAAATGCTAAAATAGTTTGTAACCAATGTTTAGTTTGTCAAACTCATATTCCTGTGAATACAATCAAAGCTTCAGGTACATTTGACTATCTGATGGGTCATTTAAATATTTATAAATGGGCCGGGCGCGGTGGCTCAAGCCTGTAATCCCAGCACTTTGGGAGGCCGAGGCGGGTGGATCACGAGGTCAAGAGATCGAGACCATCCTGGTCAACATGGTGAAACCCCGTCTCTACTAAAAATACAAAAAATTAGCTGGGCATGGTGGTGCGTGCCTGCAATCTCAGCTACTCAGGAGGCTGAGGCAGGAGAATTGCCTGAACCCAGGAGGCGGAGGTTGCGGTGAGCCGAGATCGCGCCATTGCACTCCAGCCTGGGTAACATGAGTGAAACTCCGTCTCAAAAATAAATAAATAAATAAATAAATAAATAAATATTTATAAATGGATTTCATTCAATTGTCATTTTCAATACCTGTTTTCTGGTTATAGAAAAGCTTTCCCATATAGAAGGATTGATGTTTCAACACTGTTATGCCATAGTATATTTTTACCAGGTAAAGAAAACTTTTTATGGTTCACTGAGGACAATCAACTCCTTCACAAGCTAGAACCCAAAGATTGAATCTTCTGAGAATATCAAAGACTCTTCTTGCCATTAAGGACTAAGCTCTGATTTTTTAGTCTTGCCCAAATTCCTGTCCAAGGAGTCTTGGGATTCGTGTCCTACAAACCATAAATTCTCATCAGATGGGTTTTCTTTAATCCTAGATATCATGACTTACTTTCCAACTTGACTCTGGCATTACATTACAAGACAAGGAAGACAAGGAAAATATTGTATGAGTCTCAAAAAAAAAAAAAAGACTTCAAAAGAACCTTGGTCTCCACAATCTTTTAGCTTAACCTGAATATTTATTTTCTATTGATCCCAGGTCTTTAGACAAACTCAACCAATTATTAACCAGAAAATGTTTAAATTTACCTATATCCTGGAAGCCCCCTGCTTTGTGTTGCCCCACCTTTCTGGTTCAAACCAATGTATTTCTTAAATGTATTTAATTGATGTCTCATGCCTCCCTAAAATGTATGAAACCAAGCTGTGCCCCTACCATCTTGGGCACATGTTCTCAGGATCTCCTGAGGGCTGTGTCATGGGCCATGGTCACTCATATTTGGCTCAGAATAAATCTCTTCAAATATTTTACAGAGTTAGACTCTTTTCGTTGATACCATCCACACTGCAACAAAACTTCAGGACCTTGAACTTTGAGTTTACAATCTCACAGCTGAAAAGAGTCCCTCCACACTCTTGGAACTGTCCACCCATTAGAACCCTGAAGGTAAAACTAACCAGGAAAATTCCTCCCCCCAAAAAGAGGAAATCCTTGATGTGAACTTTTCCCAAGATCACAGATCAAGAATTCTACTATCATGAAACTCTTATCTTTGAATACTTTTTCCTTGTTTATGCCTCTATAAACAATTTTGCATTGTTTATAGAGGCATGAGAAATGAGAAATGAAATAAGAAATAAAAAGACGTTCTGTTATGTACACTTATGGAGTATATTTTTATTTGTAAATGATTTCATAGACAGCCTTATACATGAATAACCTTGACAGATAAAAGAGAAAGACCCAAGGTAGGTGAAAAACTTCAATGGTACATACATTGCCTCATAATTAGAACCAGAACATCAATTCACTCTTCTTAATCCACATCATAGAGATAACATTGCCAAGAGGCCTTCACTCTTCTAAAAATACATCATTTGTTAGGTCCCTTTTCCATGGTTTAGAATAAAAGAAACAATAATTAGAAATGTATCCCCCATGATAGGCTCTATAATGGGCTCTACTGTAAAGACTATAGTTTACAGACTTTTTTTTTTTTTTTTTTTTTTTTTGAGACGGAGTTTCGCTCTTGTTACCCAGGCTGGAGTGCAATGGCGCGATCTCGGCTCACCGCAACCTCCGCCTCCTGGGTTCAGGCAATTCTCCTGCCCCAGCCTCCTGAGTCGCTGGGATTACAGGCACGCGCCACCATGCCCAGCTAATATTTTGTATTTTTAGTAGAGACGGGGTTTCACCATGTTGACCAGGATGGTCTCGATCTCATGACCTCGTGATCCACCCGCCTCGGCCTCCCACAGTGCTGGGATTACAGGCTTGAGCCACCGCGCCCGGCCTAGTTTACAGACTTTAAACTCTCTTGTAAAAGTTATACTAACTTGTAGAATTGACTAAACAGAAAAGTATCTGTACAGCTACTGGCACTTGTGGCCTATTGAGAAATACATCAAATGTAAATTATCAAAATTCAATTGTAGGGAATTAATGAAAAGAGCACTTATCTAGGCGAGTAGACTCTTCATGTAACTCATTCTTTGATCTATTTGATTTTAGCTGGTTTTATTTGTAGAGACACTGAATAAAGAACATACTCCAAACTCTTGGTATTATCCTCCCAGTAGTCATCATAATAGTCTCCCTGGCACACTGTGTTCTCTCAAAGGTTTTAAATGTTTACATACAGCCATCTCTAAAATGTCAAATAGTCCCTCTTCAACTGGAATGACAAAAACTGAAAGCAATATATGGCCGTGAGGACACCGTAACCTATGAATGACATACTGAGATCAGAAACGCAAAATAATAGTAACTGAGAGTGACACCAAGGCCCTGAATTGTGGTCACACTCTCACCTAAATGAGAACCCGACCAAAAAGGGAAGATTTTTAAACAAAATTATGGGAGGCCATTGTTTTGGACTGAAACTCGTATACTAGGCCCCAAACAGACCAAACCAAACAAAAATGGAGTCACTCATGCTAAATGTGACATAATCAAACTAAGACTTTAAGGAAACACATAAACCCTAGACCAGAACAGACCAGGTTTTGTTTTTTTTCTATAAAAGGACCTTCCAACATAAGGACGTAACCTCTACTCAATCCTTGTTCCTACCTTTGCAAAACTCACTGTTCTACTGTTTCCCAGTGGGTTTCAAAATCAAATAAATACATTTATGATGGTGATAGTGACATCAAGGACTAAAGTTTTAGTCAATCTCTTAAATTTGAGAAATGACCAAAAAGGAGGGAATTGTTAAAGCAAAGTAAATATGGCCTGAGGAGGACTCCAGACTTCTGTATTTGAGTCCTTGTGGATGTATTGTAACCTAGCTTAATAGCTCCAGCCTGGGCAACAGAGTGAGACTTGTCTCAAAAGAAAAAAGAAAAGTTTTGGCCAGGCACGGTGGCTCACACGTATAATCCCAGCACTTTGGGAGGTCGAGGCAGGCAGATCACCTGAGGTCTGGAGTTCAAGACCAGCCTAACTGACATGGAGAAACCCCATCTCTACTAAAAATACAAAAAATTAGCCAAGCCTGGTGGCAGATGCCTGTAATCCCAGCTACTTGGGAGGCTGAGGTAGGAGAATCACTTGAACCCAGGAGGTGGAGGTTGCCGTGAGCCGAGATCGCACCATTGCACTCCAGCCTGGACAAGAGCGAAACTCCAACTCAAAAAAAAAAAAAAAAAAAATAGGCAGGCAAGACTGAAAACCTAATTCAGAAGCACGTGTGCTTGTAACAATAGCTGAGTCTTGGCCAATCCCAGTGGCCATACTTCAACAACTCATAGACTGCTAAGTGTTCAAACTGTTCAAATAAAACAAACACCAACCTGTAGCCAGTCCAGCTATTTCTATACCTCACTTCCCATTTCTGTACGTCATTTCCCTTTTATTGTCTAAAAATCTTCTTCCACCACTTGGCTGTGCTGGAATCTCTCTGAATCCGCTGTCATTCTGGGAGCTGCCGATTCACGAATCCTTCATTGCTCAATTAAACTCCTTTAAATTTAATTCTGCTGAAGTTTTTCTTTTAACAGTGTACAGAATTATAAACTCCTATATGTTTACTGAAGCATTATTGGCAAGTGTGCAGCATTAAAGCAACTGAAATAGTCCCATAAGGACTTTAATGAAATACAGCCCAACCATCTAAATTAATATATAGACTAGTAAGTCAAAAGGTGAGTACTGGCTGGGTGTGGTGGCTCAAATCTGTAATCCCAGCACTTTGAGAGACTAAAGCAGGAGGATTGCTTGAGCCCAGGAATTCAAGACCAGCCTGGGGAATACAGTAAGACATCATCCCTGCAAAAATTTTTAAAACACCTGGGAATGGTAGTATGAATGTGTAGTCCTAGTTACTGGTGGACTGAGGGGTGAGGATCCCTTGAACTTGAGAGGTCAGGGGTGCAGTGAACCATGATTGTATCACTGCACTCCAGCCTGAGTGACAGAGTGAGACCCTGTATATATATTAATTAATTAAAGGGGAGTGTCTCATTTTTAAATATCACTGCTTTTTCAATCCTTGTTACTCATGAGAGGTGTCAACTCCTCAGGAATGTTAGGTCAGGAAAAGCTGAAATAACTATGTAGGAAAATAACATGTGAAGAAATCTACTTTATAACGCTTAATGAAAAAAAATCAGGTCATAAAACCAGGTGTAGGCCGGGTGCGTTTGCTCACACCTGTAATCCCAGCACTTTGGGAGGCCGAGGCAGGTGGATTGCTCGAGGTAAGGAGTTTAAGACCAGCCTGGCCAACATGGCAAAACCTCAACTCTATTAAAAATAAAAAAATTAACCAGGTGTGGTGGCGCACACCTGTAATCCCAGCTACTTGACAGGCTGGGGCAGGAGAATCACTTGAACCTGGGAGGCAGAGGTTGCAGTGAGCCAAGCTTGCACCATTGCACTCCAGCCTGGGCAACAGAGCCAGACTCCACCTCAAAAACAAAAACAAAAACGAAACAAAAAAAGCAGGTGTCAAGCATTACTCTTTTTTGTTTGAATAGATATGAATATACATATATAGACCATTTTTCCCCAAAATGTTCTCGTGGTTACCATGTGTCATATGATTGTGGCTTGTTCTGTTTGGGGTTTTGATTTCTATTTGATTAAAATTGTTCGTTTCTAGTTTCTAGTATTTCTGTAATTATTTTTCCTACTTAATAATAAATTAATTACTTAATAATGCTTAAATAATTACGACTTAATAATTTTTTTAAGCTGTAAGCTGGGCATGGTATTGCGTGCCTATAAGTTACAGCTATTCAGAAGGCTGAGGCAGGAGGATGGCTTGAGGCCAGGAGTTCAAGACCAGCCTGGGCAACATAAACATAATTGATTTTATTTTGAGACAATGTCTCAAATTTAAATTTTAAAGGTGTAAAAATTATCCTAGGGATAAACTGCAACATGCCTAACGATAAATTGCATCATGCTTAAGGATACATTGCAAACTTTTTAGCATGGCATTCAAGGCCCCAGCAACGGTGGCTCCAACCTTTCCTTCTCTTGTCTTTGACTTTTCCCTGTGTTGTAATCAACAGTCACCTCCAGAGCAAAGTCCTTGCTCTCCCCTCCCCACACATATGCATGTCATGCTTTCTCTCTGAGTTCAGCCTCACAGACCTTAGTGAGATGTGTCTTCTCTGACCAAGTGTGACAGAGTCTTTCCTTTGGGATGGGGAAGGGTGTTGTCCTGCTCACAGGAAGAGACAAGTTAAAAAGTAGAGCAGAGCTTTCTAGAAATGAATGGATTCCTTCTCTGCCCTTAGGTGGTTCCAAACTGAGTTTCTCCTGGCAGTTTCTTTTCAGTTGATGTCATCTCACATGAGGTAAGAAAATAAATAGACTCCCTCCTGCCCCCTTTCTGGGCCCCCAATTCAGCTAAGCCATAAAACTTCTTTTCAGACAACTTAAACCTGTGTAAGACATTTGCAGCTTCTGAGGTTGCCTTGTTGGGTGCTGTACTTGGCTGCCCTCAGAACCCGTTCCAGAGGCCAGGTGAATGAATGGTGAATAGACTCCAGTGTTCTGGAGGGAGGCAGGGGGACAGGGCAATGGCTGATCATCAACAATGCCCAAGCAGAAAAGTGACTCTGTAAAATACAGAGATGTTTCTTCGCAGCTTAGCAATGTCTACTCCTTATGTTCTCTTTTTTGCCTTTGGACAAAAGGATTTTTTAAAAATTTGTTCGATTACATTTTAACCCTGAGACAGATGACCTTTTGAAATATTAAACAGTGGGACTTTCACAGCCTCTGTGTTCTTTTACAGCCACCTGAACAATAAGCCTTTCAGCTCTTCAGTGAGTGAGAACGATTAGCCAACTCCAAAACAGGTCTGACTGCACTTTGAGCAAAGATCAAATATCCCAGCAGGGAGGCCTGCCTGGCCTGTTTTTATTTGAGAAGGTTCTCCCAAGCTCCTAAGTCAGCAACAACTTCCTTCTTTCTAAGATCATTAGGCTCCAAACTCCAGCGGCCCTTTTCTCCTCTGTGGACAAGAGGTCTCCTCTCACTGTTCTTCCAGATTTTCAAACCCTATTCAGCCCTGAACAAAACTTGGAAGGAAGAGAAGATTGTCTCAGTGCCCTCTTCCTTCAGCTTGAAGAACAAACAGCCTGGCTGTTCTCATTTGTTGGAAATAGATGTTTGGTGCCACAAAGAAAAATCAGCGCTGAGATAAAGGATCTTTCAGCAACGTAATTTTTACTTCCTCAACTGCAGGAAAGGTACTCTTGCTAGCCATCTTGCCATGAGTGTACAATGAATAAAGGAAAATAGACAAATTTCTTCCTTATGCATTTGGGGTCGTCCTTACTGCTGTTTCTGATCTCTGTTGGCTGGAGCCAGACCTCACAATCTAAACTAAAACCTGATTGACTAACAACTTAAAACTTTTCTAAACAGGTAAAAGCAATGGAGAGCTGGGACATGCCTGTGAGCACATCCAGCACAGATATTTTGGTTAAAGTGCAAGGACATAGAATGTACTACGTGCCTATAAGCATGGCATGTTTAACAGCTACATAGGATAGGGCTTAACAAAGTTATTAGCAAGCATATTCTTTAACAAGAAAGGAAACTTTAAAAAGGAACTTTTTTACTTCCCACATCACTCTTCCCTGATCAGCTCAGCAGAACCAGAAATTCTCAGATCTCAAAACTTAATGCTTTGATTTCAGGTAAAATCCAGAAGGAAGAACACATTATTTTTATTTGTGATGCGTAGCCTTTGTTTGGTTGAATGACATGTAAAACATTTAATTGTGTCAATATTAATAATTGGAGACATCAACAAGCTTCTTGATCTCCTGGATGGAGATCACCCCCAAGTCAGATGCCAGAACTTGACTTCTATTATCCTGGAATAAGTCAAGAGAAATTTAAGTGGGAAACACAACAGGTTTTTCTGGCTGCTACTTCTCTCCCCCACACCCAAACTCTCCTTCCCTCCCAGCACGCACACACGCACACACACACACACACACACACACACACTCCCCATGAAGGCTCTGAGCTGGGAGAGACACAGGTCTGGAAAGAGCAGAGGGAGAAGGAGGTAGTGTCATTGCACTCATCACCTGCCCCACAGTTTGCCTATCATTTGGGGGATATGAGAGAAGAGCGGGCCTGAGTCCTGCACCTCTGTCTGGGAGTTTTGTAGCTGGTGGACCTGCTGACCAACTCGCTTGACCCTGCCACACACGCAGGCACACACACACTTGCATGCACATACGCACACATGCACACGTGCACGCATGCACACACATGGTATACAGTGGTTGAAATGGAGCCATGGCCTTTCCAGGCACTACAGAGCTTGTCGCTATGTCTCCCAAGTTTTCCACGGCCCTCAAGTGAGACACAGCAAGTACTTAGGAGACAGAGCCAAGGTGCTACTGAGAGGCTGCCCCGCAGAGGAAATGAGCACACTGGTTCAAGGACAAGACATAAGCCATCCAAAAGGTGAGAAAGGACTTAGCTGCATCTCTGAGGAAGCACCGAGCCAGTGAGCTGCACAGGAGCAGGAAGGAGTGGCAGCAGGCCCGAGTTAGCACTCTCGGAGCCAAGCACCTTCCCTTCGAGGAGCAGACAAGACCAGCCCTGGGACCCAAGTCAGGGAGATGGGCAACCCCACCCATCCCACCTCAGATAGAGGCTCTGTGCACTCCTAGAGGCTTCAATTCAGCCCAGAGGGGAGAGGGAGGAAAACAGAGAGAGGAGCTGGAAATGAGCTGTGTGCTTCCGGATTTTCAAACCCTATTCAGCCCTGAACAAAACTTAGAAGGAAGAGAAGATTGACTAGCTCATAAGGCCTGGAATGACAAAGAAAAAGCTCAGAAATAACCAGATTCAGTTGCCTGCATCAGACCACGGGGCTCAGAATCAGGGTTCAGAAGTCACATGGTCAGAGTAACTGCCAGGGTGCCGCTGACAGCACTGTGATCCTGGGCGAGTTGTTTTACTTCTCCAGGCCCTGTGACTGCACCCCGCTTTCAAAATGAGTTTTCTCCCAGCTCTAGGAGTGTACAGTTCTGTGGCCCCCAGGGTGGCCTGCAGCTGGCTCAAGCCTGGCTTCTACTCCATGCTTCATGTGGCTGTGGGCCCAGTAAGTGTGCTCAGAGGAGGCCTGGTGACAGACAGCAGGCAAGGAAGGACCCAGCCCAGCCTCCTTTGTCATTTTCCTTTATCCTGTGCAGCTTTGTGGGAGAGTTTCCCAGTCTGTGCTGAGAATACCTTCCTGGTCACCACTTTTGCAATCGTCCTGTAGAGGGCACAGTGTCCTCATCCCCTTGGCTTCCGTGGTTCAATCAAGCCCTGAAGGCTTTTCTGTCCATCTGCTGATCTACTCAAAGCACTGAGGACAGCACTTTGGGAACAGGGCATATCAGGGAGTGCAGGAGGGGCCTTTGACTGTGAGGAGCTCGCAGTAGCTCTCAAGAAGAAACGACACGAACCTGGTCCAGTCAATCAAAGACATATTCACGTGGACAGGCTAAGACAGCAAACAGATTCTAGATGCTTAAGAATTCAGAAAGAATTCAATGAGGTGGCTCATGCCTGTAATACCAGCACTTTGGGGAGTCCGAGGTGGGCGGATAGCTTGAGGCCAGGAGTTTGAGACCAGCCTGGCCAACATGGCAAAACCCTGTCTCTGGTAAAAATACAAAAATTGGCAGGGCGCAGTGGCTCATACCTGTAATCCCAGCACTTTGGGAGACTGAGTCAGGCGGATCATGAGGTCAGGAGTTCAAGACCAGCCTGGCCAACATGGTGAAACCCCGTCTGTACTAAAAATACAAAACTATTAGCTGGGCATGGTGGCAGGCGCCTGTAATCCCAGCTACTCAGAAGGCTGAGACAAGAGAATCATTTGAACCCGGGAGGTGGAGGTTGCGGTGAGCCCAGATTGTGCCATTGCACTCCAGCCTGGGTGACAGAGTGAGACTCCATCTCAAAAAAAAAAAAAAAAGGAAAAGAGATAGATACATGTACTCTATAATCCACCCTTTTTTACAAATGCAAGCTGCTCTGCACCTTGCTTTAATCACTCACTATATCTTGGATCTCATATCATATTGCCAATACTCTAAACACTTTACATTTATTAACTCATTCAATCCTGGGAGGTAGTTGCCATTATCATCCTCACAACCATCATTTCTATAGGTGAGAAAATTGAGGTGCAAGAAGATAAGTGCATCATTAATGGTCACATATCTAGTAACTGATGGAGGCAGGACTTGAACCTAGCCAATCTGAGTCCAGAATATCTGCCTTTAACCACAAAAGTTTACTGCCTTTACACATGTATATCTGTAGGCTAAAGTTTTAGAAGTTAAAGCCCTGAGACAATTTTTTTTTTTTTGAGGCAGAGTCTTGCTCTGTCACCCAGGCTGGAGTGCAGTGCCCCAATCTCAGCTCATTACAGTCTCAGCCTCCCAGGTTCAAGCAATTCTTCTGCCTCAGCCTCCAAGTAGCTGGGATTATAGGCGTGCACCACCATGTCTGGCTAATTTTTATATTTTTAGTAGAGACAGGGTTTCACCATGTTGTCCAGGCTGGTCTTGAGCTCCTGACCTCAAGTGATCCTTGGCCTCCCAAAGTACTCACATTATATGTGTGAGCCACTGCACTGGGCCATGAGACTATTTTTGATAGATATTGCAAAATTACCTTTCCTTTTGCCCCGTCAGTTGACACTCACACCCTAATGGATGAGAATCCCCATTTCTCCAGTCCTCACTGAGGACTCACTTAACAGAGTAGTGTCAGTGGTTGGGTAGGTGCTCATGATAAAGGAGACCATCCCTGCTCTTGAGAACTGCCAGTCTTACTGGGAGAGGCTAAGAGGTGAGTCACAGTGGACCAATGGTAACTCCTACTTAATGAATAAACCAACCAGGCTACTGACTTGTGCTTTGAAGAAGGCAGAATACAGATCACAAAGAGTAGGCTCCTCTAGTCTCCCACAATGTAACCAGCTTAGGCTGTGTGCTTTGTGAAATCGCAAAAAATAAAAACAGGCTGGATGTGGAGGCTTATGCCTGTAATCCCAGCACTTTGGGAGGCCAAGGCAGAAGGATCACCTGAGGTCAAGAGTTTGAGACCAGCCTGGCCAACATGGTGAAACCCTGTCTCTACTAAAAATATAAAAATTAGCCAGGTGTAGTGGCAGGTGCCTCTAATCCCAGTTGCTCAGGAGGCTGAAGGAGGAGAATCACTTGAACCCAGGAGGTGGAGGTTGCAGTGAGCTAAGATTGTGCCATTACACTCTAGCCTGGGGGTCAAGAACCAGATTTTGTCTCTAAATAAATAAATAAATAAATAAAAACAAAAATCAATAAATCACCACAAAGCCTCCCCAGCAGGCCCTCATATTACAACACCACATGATTAAGAACAATCCAAATGCTTTTTAATCCAGGTCTGCTCCTCACCATCTTCAGAGGAAGGCTGAAAGACCCTTTGTTGTAGTAAGAGGTTAAGGAATTTTCTAGTTCCAATGAAAGAAGAGGGAAGTCTGCAGACACCAGACCATTTGCTAAAGGTGAATTTTGGCAAGAGGCGTTTTAGTCCTCAAATATATATACAAATTATATATACATAAAAACAGGTCCTAGTTTGTATCCACTTAAAAGTGCAGGCAGGAGTCCTGGTGTGGTGTCTCATTCCTGTGATCTCAACACTTTGGGAGGCCAAGGCCAGCAGATTGCTTGAGCCAAGGAGTTCAAGACCAGCCTGGCCAACATGTTAAAACCCTGTATCTATAAAAATTAAAGGAAAAGAAAACTGCAGGTCTAAACCAGGGCACTAGAGCTTTAATTCTTGCTTCTGTGCTCAGTCAGTCACTGCCCTCTCTGCTTTTCAGCTAATGAATGCCATTTCACTCACTCAGGTGAAAATATTTTTTAAATTCCTGCTATGTGCTAGGCACCTGTTAGATACATATGAGTAAGACACACATATAGGCTGCTTCAAATGACTCCCAAGAGGAGGAAATGCAACTGGGTAGGCTTCAACCACCTGCCACAGTAAAATGCTCCCCACCAGCTGGGAGTGTGCTGCTGCCTGTCAGTTTCAGCTGTCTGTGGGAAGAAATGGATTTGCGCTTGGTCTGGCATACATTTCTATGCGAGCTAAGATTTGTTCCTATTTATAACTCTCCAAGAAGGCTTAGGGAAGCATTAGGAGAAAGAAATGTTCATGAAGTATTTTGTGTAAAGTAAAATATTTCAAAGTCTAGGGGCTTCCATCTGCGTTTATGAATAGGTGGAAAATTATTTGACCTCAGCATACAGGAATTTGTCAATCAGTTGGGAGACTCTCCCAAAGGAGATTTGACCTCACACCCTAAAGACAAAGTAAAAATATGCTGATAGCTAGAGAACCTTAAAAGCAAGACAGAAAAAAATATACATAAGCAAATAAATTAATTAACTTTTTAAAAAGCAAGATGGAAGCAGTTTTTAGCTTGTGCTGTGTACTCATTCCCTTTCTTTCCTTTAAAGAAAGTCGGGGAGCCAGGCGCAATGGCTCATGCCTCTAATCGCAGGACCTGGAGAGGCTGAAACGGGTGGATCACTTGAGGTCAGGAGTTCAAGACCAGCCTGGACAATATGATGAAACCCCATCTCTACTATAAATACAAAAATTGGTGGGGGGGCATGGTGACGCATGCCTGTAATCCCAGCTACTTGGGAGGCTGAGGCAGGGGAATTGCTTAATCCCAGGAGGCAGAGGTAGTAATGAGCCAAGATCACGCTGCTGCACTCCAGCCTGGGTGATGGAGCAAGACTCCATCTCAAAAAAAGAAAGAAAGAAAAGAAAAAAAGCATGGGTTTTCATCACTGCATCATAA